AAACCGGATGCAATGGCTCAAGAAAACAGTGCAGTTTAGCAGGGTGCTCGCTTGAAGATTAGCATGGCCCCTGCGACTAACGATGACCCGCACGTAACACCTGCAGAGAACCCAGCTCGTGAAGAGCAACAGGTGATGAGCCCAAGTGGCGCGGCGGCTGCGGCTCGCCAACAGCAGCAATCTGTGATGCCTAATGGTGTCGCACGTACTTCGTGGCCAGATGGAGCAGATGAAGAATACCGCAGGGCTCTGGCTACAGGTGGGTTGTTGGGTGCGACCGGAACAACGGACGCGGAAAGACAATCTGCTTCAGAGGGCGTGCGAGTGCAGATGCAGACACAGGCTGCTTCCAATTCGAACGGAACCCAACGTGACGTTGGTTCTGCGGGCAGTGCGGATGTGTTTACTACGGCGGCGACGGCGATGAGTCCGGAACCAGAGGGCAATAGACCTATACTACCACATGCTGCTTTGGAAACAAGTCGGCCAGCTAACAACCTTGGACCTTGGTGGCCTTCTCCGTTCCCTTCCCCTTTGTCGAGCACTACGCGGACAGGAGAAGTGGCGAATCAACCTTCGCATGGGAGAAATTTGGCTCAGTCTGGTGCTGCAGCGGTTAGATGGTTTTCAAGGCTTGGCGAATATATGAGACAAGCCACTATGGTTTCGCAATCCCGCCCCGGAATTGAGGCGACTGTGGTGCAGGAGACGGTGTGGTCACCTGGAGGCACGCATGTGCGGACCGGTGAAGAGCCACCCCTCTTTGATCGTATGCAGTCAAGACGCCTTCAGGAGATGACAGCGCAGGCTCCACAACTGTATGGACCAAGGCCTCAGACGGGGGCAGCTTCGGACACTTCAGGTTCTTATTCCAAGGAGCAGTTGGAGGCGGAGGTCAAGCGGCAGGTGGAACTGGCGTTGGGGGCTCAAAGAGGACTGGCTGAGGAGAATCAACGACTTCGTCTGCAAGTGGAGAGACTGAGTACGGAGGTCACTGCACGCGGAGAGGCCGAAACTCAGGCCAGTGCCCAGAGGCGTGGGAATATGGAGCTTATGCGGCGTGAGGGAAGTGAAGAGAGAAAAAGGGCTCTAATGGTGGGACCTGGGATACCTGAAGGCAATCCACCTGGACTTTCCGGACACGGGCGTGAGCAAGGGGGTCTCCCAAAGGACCTTCATCGCGAAAACCTACCAGGAGGCAATCCTCGCGGACTATCGGGACATGAGGGCGCAGGAGAAGGTGACGTTCTCACTGGCTCTGGAGTACCTGAAAGCAATCCACCCGGACTTTCTGGACACGGTCGTGAGCAAGGGGGTTTGTTTGCGGAGATAGATGGACGCCAAACCTTTCAGAAGAGTGCAGCGAGCATTCAGGGAAGTGGAGGTGTCAGATTCGGAGGTTCTTGTGATAACGTTTCTGGAGGCAATCCACCTGGACTTTCAAGAGACGGTCATGGACCTCAGCGGGGGTATGATAGAGAAGATAATTTTCCTGGAAGCAATCCACCCGGACTTTCGGGACACGGACGTGAGCAAGGGGGTCGTTTTATTTTTCAGCATGCACCGAGTACCTCTGGGTCCCTTTTTGGTCAGCATGCACCGAGTACCTCGGGTCCTACATCAGCAAATCTACTTGGCGTCAGGCGTGCCAGCAGCTCTCCACCACCTCAGCGACAACAAGGAGTTCCTGTTCTAGAACAAGGCCAAGAGGAAGGGGTACATGGGGCAGCTCCTATGGATGCGTTGATGAAGGGGATGTCTCAGCTACAGGCTGCTATGGCGTTACAGATGGGTATGGCTGCCAACCGTCCCGAGGTTATTAGACCAGGAGTATCAGGGTCAGAACTCCCCAAACTCCAAGAAGCTGACGAACAGGCTGCTATAAATGTGGGGGATTGGCTGCATGGACTGGCGGGACCTATGGGGGACATTACAGATGGCAGTGCAGGTTGGTGGTCGCAAGCGATGTCTTCGTTGGACAAGTTCTATCAAGATTATACAAGTGTACCCACGGTGCAGAAAGTACAGCTACGAGCCGAGGACTACAGCACCCCAGAACTTCGAGACCACAAGTGGCTAAGGCTTGACAAGAGGGCGGCGAGCATGTTGCTACAGGCGGTTCCGGAGGCCCTGAAGAATGAGCTCATGGCAAATAGACTTAGCACTACGCTGGGGATCCTTGGTCGTATTCTGGTTATTTATAGACCGGGGTCGGCGGCCGAGAGACAACATGTACTACGTGCACTTGAAACCCCGGGCAACCCCACCACAGCATCAGATTTGGTGGAAGTTTTACGGCGATGGATGCGGTGGCTGAAGAGGGCACAGGACCTCGGACTTCAAGTTCCTGACGCGAGTATATTGTTGAAGGGACTTGACTCTGCGGCCAAGCAACAGCTGGAAAAGCATCCTGAGGTTGTGTTCCGGAGCAATATGATGAGGTTCAGTTTGGACTTAGACTCGGCACCGAGTTTGCACAACGTCCTGCGCTACCACGGCCACCTGCTTGCGGAGTTTGAGCAGCTTTCGTTCAGGGCCCGGGGAAAGGCGTCAGGCGCAGCACTTCCGACGGTTAAGAATGTGGCCGTGACTCAGGACGGTGCTGCAACGGGCACTCCCAAGGCGGGCACTTCACCATCGTCTACTGCCACTACAAGGCCCTGCAAGTTTTTCCTGTCGGACACGGGTTGCCAGAGATCGGCTTGCAAGTTTGTACATGATTGGCAAAGCGTACCTCGAGAAGATCGGGCTAACAAGTGCAAAGGATGTGGCGGCAAAGGACATATGAAAAAGGATTGCCCTATGAAATCCGGAGGAGATGTACAAGGCCGAGGAGAAGGGGGGAAGAGCGCAGCGAATCCCAAGGTCAAAAATGTGAGGCCGGACAAGCGCGAGGATGGCACTCTTCCAGCTTCCGAGAACTCGAGTTCTACCACCTCGGCAGCAGCAGCTACAAGTGGTGACACTACCACAGCACCTACTTCCTCTACTACAACAGCAACCCCGGCTACCACATCCAGCAGTGAGGACTTTCTCAAAAACGCTACCCAGATCCTCAAGATGATGGCTGAGCAGTCAACGGCTACTTCTACAGCTTCCATGCCCTCTATGAAGATGCTTAAAACGGCAGTGCACGAGCTGGAAGCAAGGATGGCCTTGGTGGACTCGGGGGCGACGCATCCCTTAAGGAGGGCACAGCTGCCGGAGTGGGAACAAGCCCCAGAAGTTGATGTGGTGGTGGCGGGTGACGGTGTGGCAAAGATGAGACAGAGCGAGACGGGCACTCTTTTAACCTCTCCAAGTGCGGCGGGTTCCCAGACGATCCTCCCGGTCGGCAACCTTGTAAAGATCTTGGGGTATGAGTTGATATGGTCGCGACGAAAATGCATATTAAGGGCGCCAGATGGAAGGGAAATACCTTTGCGAATTTCGTCGGGATGCCCTGAGGTGAACGAGGCCACGGCTTTGGACCTTATCGCCCGGATTGAGGAGGAGAAGCTTGGTCAGCTACGTGAGAAGGCGGAGATCACCAAGTTGGCAATGATGAGGGCGCAACAAGTAGCCCAGGTGGAGCAATGGGAAGCCAGCATGCAGGAGTATGTGACCAGCGGAAAGTTTGAAGACGGCTTCAGAGCGGTGGTTTCTATGCCTTGGCTTAGGAATGTACCTCGTGAAGAACTGATCAAAGTGGTTATGGACATTCCGAAGTGCGAGGAGGAGGCTTGGGAGTTGATGAAGAGTATGGGCTTCAACAGGAGAATGAGGAAGCGACTGGTTCACAAGGACTGGGTGATCAAGTTCTACTCTGGAGCACGCTCTCAGATTGACAAACTTTTCCGTCCCGTTGATGCCAACAACACCATCACCTTGGATATTGATGAGCTGAGAAACTCGCAGTGGGATATGCTCAAGGAGGGCCGTGGGATCTATGAGTTGCTTCTATGGGGGGCGGCTACGGGAAGGGTGGCTGGTATGATGGCCTCGCTACCAAAGGACCACGCAGAGCAACACCTGAGCCGTTTGATGATGATTGCCGAGGTGGCTAAGCAAGGCCGCAAGATGATGTGCCAGAATGTGGACCTTCCTGACGATGGCGTGGCGGTGGTTTTATGGGGCTCTTCGGAGGCAGAGGAGGACCACAGTGCCCAGGCGTTTCAAAAAGAATGGTTCAAAAGGTGGTACATCGAGAATTGGCTGGACAACATCTACTTCGAGCAGGGCGGCCTTGGACACCCGTTGAGGAGACCTACGACTATGGTTACCAATATGGATATTTCAGAGCTCCGAGGTGTGCGCGATGAACGGAGTGAAGAAGCTACTTGGGGCCAATGGTCGACTTGGGCGCCTATGATGGTACATGTTTTGGTCCGCGGGTGGAGAAGGTGGAAGCAACGTCCGGGGTGGTACTCGAGGATGGTGAAAGCACTTAAGGCGGTGGATAGAAGAGCCTGGGAGCGGCACTTGGCCAATGACCACGTACCTCATCGTCCCGATTGCCTACAGTGTATCCACAACTCTACGGGTCGACCTCATCGGCGGTGCCTACACAAGGATTGCTACGTGATGAGCGCCGATACCTTGGGCCCAGTGAGAGTTGCGGGGCCAAAGGGTGAGAAGTATGCTTTGGTGTTCACGTATCAGTTCCCGAAACAAAAGATGAGTGCCGAAGATGAACCAGTTTGTGAGGAAGATCTAGTTGGTTGGGATTAAGACGTGAAACCTCGAGCTACCGATGAGAACGTTGCGGAGGCTCCAGAAGACGAAGAGAACGCGGTGTTTGATGAGGACCTCGGTGAGTACGAACCTTCGGAACAAGAGGAGCTCAGTCAAGAGGAGCAACCAGAACCACAGGAACCTGGATCCTTGGTGGGGCTTCGTGGTGCAAGAAAGAAACATGCGGAAGCTGCGGAGGACTGGTGGGAGTTCAGGGAGGCGGCTGGTGTTCTAATTCGACATCATGAAGTTCCACGACAAACATTGTTTCGTCCATCAGGTGCTAGCGGATGTCCGGTACACCCTGGGAAATTGGATGATACGCGAATTACAGACATCAAGTACATCGGCGGCGGGGTGGAAACTGAGACCTCGGATTGGCATGGCCCTAAGTCAGGGGCAAGGAGCTTGGGCAGGAGCTGGACGGGCACTACAAGGTTCAAGGTTTCTATGGCGGAGGTACCAGAGGATGAGGCTGTTCTACAACGTGATGAGGAACAGTGGGAGAAGTTGATTGGGGACTTGACCAAGCCGGTGGAAATGGAGACGATCTACATGGTATATCCCGTTCGTTCAAAGAGAGGAGGCGATGCAATGCTGGCTACTCAAGGGGCAGTACTGCGACTAAAGGTGTTGGGGCTGCCGGTGGCCAGGCTTCACACGGACAGAGGTTCCGAATTTGCGTCGCGTGGTCTACATCGTTGGCTACTTGATCACGATATCTACCACACCAGGAGTGAAGCATTGGTGCCCCAAACTAGCGGCGCAGCCGAAAGAGGAGTACGATGGTTTAAGACAAGGGCCAAGGTGCTTTTAGCAGAGGCGGGAATCCCTATGAAGTATTGGACCCTGGCCATGCAGCACGCGGCAAACCGTCGACTACATGACAGGCTAGGACTTACAAAACCTATGCTGTTACGGTTTGGGAGCAAAGTGATGATAAGGAGGAAGATTTTCGGGAACAATAAGAAGTACGACCTCACGGATCGATGGGAGGAGGGAAAGTACCTGGGCCTATCGGATACCATCAAGGGTGGAGCTGTGGTTTTACGGGCAACAGGGGCCATCACGGAGACTCTGAATCTACGCGAAGGAGTGGTGGATCCTAAGGCGCTGTTGGCTGCAGAAGAGGACGACGGTGGTGGTGGTGTTTTTTGTGAGGGTGAAGTTCCTATTATCGATCTACCAGAAGCGGACCATCGACTACGTGGCAAAGAACAACCTCCGGACCTCCCAGAAGTCCGAAAGGTGGCCGTGGAAGGTGAAGAGGTGAAGGAAAAGAAAGTGGTCAGTGGTTGGAAGATGCGAGCTCTGGTCCAGCAACAAGAAATGAAGGCGAAGATGTTCTTCGAAATGGGGAAGTTCGATAATTCGGCGTGTGCGGAGGTTCTGGGCGAGATGGAGTTGTCGGGTACGATGAGGAACAAAGCCAGAGGTGTACACACAACGTCGATGATCCTTGGCGCCTACGTGCATGGAGGTATGAGAGGTATGACAAAAGCTGGGCGGAGGAGGCCACACCTCACTAAGTTCCTCAATATAGTACTACGTAAACGTGTCGCGGAGGATTTGGGGGAGGATGGTAGCTGGACTACGATTGGCGTGTTCAAGGATATACCTCCACATCGTGATCAAAGGAATCAGGTTGGATCATGGAACTATGTCATTGAGATCGGCGCGGGCACCAACGGTGGTCTCTGGGTGGCCAATGGCAAGGGCGACTCTTCGGTGCGTGGAGGACGAGATCTTCAACCAATGGCAAGAGAGCAAGCAACCCGACGGAAAAGTGGTGGAGGGCACTATCGTGAACATTGAAGGCCGGGCAGCCGCGTTCAATGCAAAGGAGCTACATGCTTACCTCAACAGCGAGCCAGAGAGATGGATTATAGCAGCCTTTACCCCGCTCGGAGCAACCTCATTGAGTACGTCTACGGTGGCGCAACTTTCCTTATGTGGTTTTCCACTGGATGGTTCTGGTGTTCAAAGAGTACATCTATCTGATGAAGATATGGAGTTGGAGGCTACGTCGTCTTCAGATGAAGAGGAGGAGGAAGGTGTACTTGAGAAAAAGGTATGCGTACTACGATGTATTCTGGAACAAGAGGCGCTTCAGGAGGAGAAGTTCAAGCACCTTGTGGAGGACAGGCTAGAATGGGGTCAAGCCCGACTACATGAACGTGATTGTAAAGTTCTTCGGCAAGTTGCAAAGGTTTCTCCAGGAGAAGCGGGGGATTATGAGGTGGAGACGATCCTTGAGAACCTCTCGGGGCCACTGGAGGTGGTACATAATGTCAGTTTACATGAAGCACGTCGATACATTGATCGATGGCGCGGTGCTGTTATGAAGGAGGTGGATGCCCTTGTCAACAGTGGCACAGTTCGACGTCTTACACCAGAGCAAGCTCGGGAGATGAAGGCCAAGGGAATGGTTTTTCTACCGGGCAAGGCTGTACTCACAGCCAAACCGCCGAGCGACCAGAACAACGAGAGCGAGAAGTTCCGCAGGAAGTGTCGTATAGTGGTATGTGGAAATTACCTTCCATGTGACAAGGCCAATGTATATGCTTCAGGAACTTCTGCAGATGGACTACGTGTTTCAGTATCGTATGCAGTGGTGAAAAGGTGGAGGGCCGGAGCAACCGACATTTCCAACGCCTTTACGCTAGCGCCTATGCCGGAGGACAAGTTGTTTGGCATGAGTCCGCCTTCAGTGGTGGTGGCGGCTGGAGGTGCAGCCATTGGTGAATCATGGGCCATAGAAAGGGTATTATATGGGCTGAGGGAGGCACCCCGTTGGTGGGGGGGTTTTCCGGAACGGCCGATTATGCCGAGCACGCATCGCCTTTGAGGAGGAGTTCATTGTCTTTGAGTGTTTGGAGACCGAAGAAAACGTATGGAAGATACTCTTTGAGGGGTGCGATGAGGTCAAAGGAATACTATTGATCTACGTCGACGACCTTTTGATGTTGTCCACCACCCCGATCATTAAGGCTGTGTACCAGTGGCTTACAGAGGAATGGAAGTGCTCCCCACTACAATGGATGGACGAGGAACACTTGAGGTTCTTGGGCGTTGAGCTAAGGCCGATGGGAAGCGGAATTCATGTTTCGCAGTCTGGCTACATTCGCGATCTACTACGTCAACATGGGGTGCAAGAAAATCCTGGAAGTTTGACGGCACCGTGTGCAAGAGAATGGCTACAAGACCCCGACTCCGAGGACGATGAGGACCAGGGTGCGGAGGAGGCCGTGGTGAAGCTGGCTCAAAAGGCCACGGGAGAAATCCTTTGGTTATCTACCCGGTCAAGACCGGAACTGGCGCACCCGGTGGCATGCATGGCATCAAGGGCCTTGAGGAAGCCGACCAAGACGTTGGAGATTGCAAAGAGGGTCATGAACTATCTGTCCAAGACGGTCGAGTACGGGCTGCACTACGTCAGAGATGAGGAGGAGGCTCTCCTAACAGTATATTCTGACGCCTCGTATGCGCCTGGCGGCGGTCGTTCGTTTGGATGTGTCATGGCACAAGTGGCTGGAATGCCGGTTTGCTGGCGAGCGTCGAAACAACCTATAATAACATTGTCGGTTGCGGAGGCGGAGCTCTACGAGGCTGTAAGCTCAGTTCAACTTGGACTCGGAGTACTGGCTATGCTGAATGAACTGGGCGACAAGCCGGTGATGCGGTTGAAGATTGATAACGCTGCTGCCCGGGGACTAGCTACAGAATCACCTGGTAGCTGGAAGACAAGGCATCTTCGACTACGGGCCAGGTTTCTTCGGCAAGAAGTTGCGGGTCAGCGGTTGATCATCTCTCACGTGCCGGGGGACCAGCAGAAGGCAGACTTAGGAACCAAGAGTTTTGATGTGCCAAAGTTTCGGTCGCTACTAAGTTTGTGGAGGCTCGTTCCGTTCGAGGCCACAGAGGAGGTGATCATCAAGACGGCACGGAAGCTCAATAACAAGAACATTTTGTTGTTTGCGATGGTGTGTTTTATGATGGTTCAGGGAGCTCGGGGAACTGCCAAAGAAGATCTACAGCTTGATGGTTCGCTTGAGTTCTATGTGATTGTGGTGCTGGGCGTTGTGGCTTGCGTGGCACTTTGGGAGGTGGTGAAGTATGTTGTTGGCTGTGGGAAGTCGTGGTGGAAATCATGGCAGCGCAAGAACAAGAAGCTTGAAAGGCTAAGATCAAGGGCCGAGGCAGCTGTGAAGGATGAGCTACGACGTCAAGTCAACATCGATCCCTGTACGCCAAGGACCACGAGTTCAGCGACTACAAGACCTACGGATGTGATGTCTACAGGACCGGATCCTCGTACACCGGTCACGGATATTCAAAGGGATATGGGAGATACCAGGCCCGGGTGTATGTCTCGAGCGGCGTCTACTACCAGAACAATGGCTTCAACTACAAGGAGCACAGCAACGCAGACAGAGATTCCATATATGGGACCTCACTGGATAGATGCCCGGAGGCTGCAGGGGTTTGATGGCCCATTCTATGCCACTCCTCACGGTGATTGCATTCACACCATTCCTGGATGTCATGGTCAAAGGAATTCCACGGGACCACCGCGGACGTTCAGGTTGTGCAGTTACTGTGACCGTGATCGACCGCTCATGTTGGTCGGTGCGTCGCTAGGCTAAGGGTCAAGCGACGAGGAGGAGTGTTGAGCGCTCTATTTCACTATGTGTGGGCGATACATTTGGCGAGAGTAACTATGACTCTCCGTTGCAAGAGCTGTGGTCATGTAAAGTTGTGCAGAGAACCCAGCGTGCAAACCGGATGCAATGGCTCAAGAAAAACAGTGCAGTTTAGCAGGGTGCTCGCTTGAAGATTAGCATGGCCCCTGCGACTAACGATGACCCGCACGTAACACCTGCAGAGAACCCAGCTCGTGAAGAGCAACAGGTTTAGGGTGGCCTAAGCTCGCATCAATCATTGCATGCGGCCTAGTCTGTGTTGCGATTTCTTCAAGCTCAAACACCCAAAGATATCAGAAGGCCCGCGGTCGCAGGCATTGGCACAAGAGCACGGCCCTAAACGTCGCCATGGAGTTCATAAGCCCTGTACTTATCAGAAAAGATCCCTCACGACGAGCAGCCATCAAGAGTTGCTTGGTCCGTCCTCTCGCCAGTTCTTTCCAGCTCACCTGCAGTACTGCAGGGCATCGTGATATGGGAGCTGCCGCTGTAAGGTTTTAGCGGGGCTTGGCTCCCATATATAGCGGTTGGAAGAACTGGCAAGGAGCCCACAGATTGTTAAGAAATTCTCTGTAATGCTCATGCAGGGCAATACGACTCCGAATCAAGAGTTAAGCCTCCTTACCTCGTCCTCGCCGCTGTCCTGCCAGCTTTGAAGGATGTCTTTCAGCTCCTGTTGTGCATCCCTCCTGAGCTGGATTCCAAATTCAGGGTTTCTCAGAGAAGCCAATGGCCCTTAGATCCTTAAATCAAGGAATATACCGTATGTCATAATCTTAAGGCCTCTATCATTTAAGGTATCTTCCTTAATTGAGGGCTATTGGGTTCTCTGGGTTCGTGTCTTTGGGATTCGGGTTTATATCTGAAAAGTTGAATTGCTAAGATTTCGGGGCGTCTTTCCTTCCCATGCGTCTCCGTCCTAGCTTTCCTGCTAAAGGAAACTACAGGTGGGGAGTTCAGGGTATTTTGGGGCTTCTATAAGCCTTTCTATCTGGTATATAGACTTCATATAAGGGTAACTACCCACTTGAGAATGCCCTAGATCCTAGTTTTGCGGCTCCTTTGGTCCAGTCTTGGAGACGCAAACCTAAGCCCTACCCACAGAACCCATCTGCCCTTAATTAAGGAATATATCTTAAATGATAGAGGCCTTAATCTTATGATTTAAGGTATATTCCAGAATTAAGGGGTATTGAGTTCTCTGGGTACACCCTAATATACTCTCATGCCTCCTGGGAGTTGACACTGTCTAAAGGCAAGGCCACGCACCTCCGGGAAGTGATTTTGGCATGGATTGAAATACGACCGTGGAACTGAACTTCTGAAAAAAATGCAGCATTCACCAGCCTACAACCCCAACCCCCAAATCCTAGGCCGCAAAACCCTGAAGATAGCAATCAGACCCTTCGGTCGGATAAGGACTTGAGGGGCTTAGGGTTGCTAGAAAGGGGTGAACTCCGAATTTCAGCAAACACTGGGACCCTAACATCCTTACCAAGAGGACCATGCTAATTCTCATAAGTCACCGGGCAGTACTGCTTCAGGGGTTTTCCTGAGGGTTCCGGGGTGCTCAGAGAATGTAGAAGAGGCCGTGTGCTTAGGGTTTAAGGGTTTGTAGGGGTTTAGGGCTTCGGGTTTAGCCTCCTGTGCTGGCAGAAGACTTCATTCGGAGAAGGCTTCCCATGTTGTGCTTGCCGGCTCCCGACAAAAATACTATCCCACGAAACCCTAAGCCCCAATGCTACTGGCAGGGTTGCCGTTGGCACTTGCCCTGGCTCGCAGCCTCATACGTGTAAACACTCATTTCTTCAGAGCGACTGAGGGTACGCGTTTCTTGCAAGACCGAGTCGCTCCTCCCGCAGCTTGAGCAGAACATCGTAGGCTTCATTGATCCGACCTGCCGTAGTGCAGACTCACTAGGTTTCTGAGGGATTTAGGGTTTAGGGTTTTCTTTTGGGGTTTAGGGTTTAGGGTTTTAAGGGAGATGTTTCTGGTTTGCAAGAACCCTTTCACCCTGCCAAGAGCTACACAGGAACACGGAGAGGGCCACGATCAGACTTACCAGATGGTCCGTAGAACAACAGGTGTCAGGAGCGAAAATGCACGCCGGTTTAGGGCAAACCATAACCCCCCTCACCCTTAAAGCCTAAACCATGAGCCCCAGGAGCTTAACCACCACCTCAACGGTTTGGGGCTTGAGGCTTTGCAAAGCAGCGGCAAGACCCCACTGTCCTATTGTATGCAGAAGCAGGGTAGGCCTACTGTCTCAAGGGACTCTGAATCGTTTGGGAATGAGGGTATGGTGTAGGGTTCAGGGCATGGGGTTTAGTCCGGGTTTCAGGTTCAGGTTTCGGAGTTTTTCATTCCCAGACGCGCATGCATCGCTATTCATGCGCAGGTCATTCCGCACAGGCCTTTGTTGTCGGAGTCCTCATGAGATATGCTATGAAGAGCTATGCCTACGTAGGGACAGTGGGACGACACTGACAGTGCTACTTTACCAACCCAAGTCTATTCTGTGCCTGAACCCGTTAACCCCCCCCCAAACGCTAAATCCCCGAATCCCTAACAACCCCAAAATCCTAAATTCCCAAGCCTCAAGACCCCACGACTTAACAGTCTCAAACTCCCAACGCCTGTGACCCGAAATCCCAAAGCCCCAAAAAGGCCTTTCTGCACCAGCCATCGAGGTGAGCGAGGGAGAAAGATCATGCCGATCCTGCTCTATCCGGAGAAAGCTGCGTGCTTAGCTAGGGTTTAGCAGGCGTCTTGAAGTTACATCTGGGGACCTTGCTTAAGGGTCCATATAGCGAAGATCCCAGTAGGTCTATATTGTATTAGAGCACATTTCTGAAGTTGTCCAACGGAACATGAACCCCGTCACTTATGACTTGGGTGTTTTTGTGGGACCCCGCTGGCACGGCAACAGCCGAGCCGGAAAAATCTGGAAACCCGCACTGAAGATATCTTATATCAGATGTATAATTTCCTAAACCCTAAACCCCTAACTTTCACCCCCATAAACTCCCAAACGGTAAACCCCAAACCTTCAACCCCTAAACTCCCAAACCCTAAACCCCAAACCTTCAACCCCATAAACTCCCAAACCCCAAACCTTCAGCCCCTAACCTCCCAAACCTTCAACCTCTAAACTCCTAAACCTCAAACCCTTGAACCCTAAACCCCAAAACCCTAAAACCCTAAAACCCTAAACCCTAAACCCTAAAACCCTACACCCTAAACCCTAAAACCCGAAAGCCCTAAGCCTTAAACCGTAAAACACCAAACCCCCAAACCCAAACCCTAAACCCTAAACCCTAAACCCTAGCAAGGTGGGTATCGGGATGACCCGGGGAGATCGGACCTCAGACCCAGGCCCTGGCCAAGGGTTCCTTTAGGGGTCCCTTTAAGGGTTTAGGGTTTGGGGTTCCTTTAAGGGTTCCTTTAAGGGTTTAGGGTTTAGGGTTCCTTTAAGGGTTTGCTTGTTTTTGTCAACCTTTTCTCTCTTTTTTTTTTGGGGGGGGGGGGGTG